CGCAGGTAGGGCTGGTGGGGACGAGAGACAGGGCCTTCTCAGTGGTGGTCCCTTGGCTACAGAAATCCTCCCTAGTGAAATTAGAGCAGCCCTCTCCCTCCTGACCAGATTATGGGACCAAGCTTTCAGAGAGCAAGTTTTTAGTGCAACAAGAGAATAAGGAATAGTGAACTGACAAATGAAACGGCCTTGGATTATGATTTTGGATGACATGATTTTATACACACACACACACACTTATAGATAAGTCTAGAAATTTTAGCCAAAAGATCATCCTAAAAAAACCAAGTCCACTTATCCACAGGTCAGTGTAAGTTCTATCCCTTAAACCTTATTGAACTTTGAGAAGAGTAGCAAAAGTGTAGTTCATCCTAAAAGAAACATTGACCCCCCTCTATTCTATCAGCTTCTTGCCTTTTTGAATGCTTGGGTGGGAGACTGGTGATGGAGGGAAGCTGGCACCCTGAGACAGCATTGGCCTGTCCCCTATTCATGAAATTACCTACAATTTATTCATAGGTAACACCCAAATCCAAATCCTACCTTGAACTTATAGGTAATTTTATAAACTAATACACACCATATATTTGTTCCAGGTTTGCATTTTCCAGACAGAGCATCCATGTCCCATGTTTATACTCAAATGTTATTTACTAACAAAATATTGTCACTGTCACTTCTATGGTAAATCATCACAATCCAAATCTGAAGCTGTGCAGCTATCTTATTAAAAGATACAAACATACAATCACAGAGTTGAAGATTCATACAGAAAATGTAGAGCAAGAATCAGTCTAACCACCTAGCCTCTCTTCAAAAAGAATATGTCTAAATGTTTTGGGCCTGGATGGGTTGGGTTATTTGTCTTGGTCTAGTGTTTATGGCATTGAATGTTTGCCAATATTTGTTGTTTACTGCCCTGAACCCCCTCAGGGAGATAGGGGACTATTTAATGAAACTATTTCCAAGTAAATATGCATACCAGTTACTTCCCCTCTGTTACTTGTTGCTTTGTCTTATATTTCACATTTATTTTTACAGTAAGGTATCTGTAATTTGCTTTCCAGAGCATGAAGCCATCTCCATGCACACAGTATAGTGTTTAACTGATTAACTGTGTGAAAGTCCTCTGGCCATTTGAAATGTAATGGCTTAATCACTTACAGGCTCAGGTGTAACATTAATGATTGACAGGGATCTGTAACAAACTACAACAATTCAAGTGATTTTTTGTAGCTCAGGACCAAAAAGTCTAGGAATTTAGGAGAAGACATTTTGCTGAAGACAAGCTTTCCTGTCTCTATTTCTACTGCATAGGAACAGTGGACAAGACAGGGACACATATTTTCAGTGTCTCCAGTTAAAAAGATCAGAAAATAGTAGGCAACGTGTAAAATTTCAGTTTGTGTGTCATTCAGCTATGGCTGAAACTCAGGGATGAGAATATAGGCTAGATACACAAACTTCATGACCTAAGATTGGGCTATAAATTTCCTACACGTTTGGTGGCCTTTTCTTTCACACAAAAGTTAGTTGTGGATCTTTTGAGCAAGGGTAAAGTTGAAGACAACTTGGAGGCATAGTGGGATTACTTTATTAAAACTAAAGGGCTTTCTTTTCTTTACTGAAGATCAGGCAAACACCTGGGGGGGGGGG